AAGCATATACGATGAAGTTTATTTCCTGCTGTGTTGTCTAAATGTCATGTTGTCTCATTTTTTCAGAGAAGTTAATTAACCTGGTGATATGGTGACGTAGTGACACCTTCAGTTCTTCAAAAATGCTTCATAAATACCTTCCTCCTGTGTTGTTGTCTAAATGTCATGTTGTCTCATTTTTTCAGAGAAGTTAATTAACCTGGTAGCACATGGTAACATGGTAGCACCTTCAGTTCTTCAAAAATAATTCATAAATACCTTCCTCCTCTGTTGTTGTCTAAATGTCATGTTGTCTCATTTTTTCAGAGAAGTTAATTAACCTGGTGATATGGTGACGTAGTGACACCTTCAGTTCTTCAAAAATAATTCATAAATACCTTCCTCCTGTGTTGTTGTCTAAATGTCATGTTGTCTCATTTTTTCAGAGAAGTTAATTAACCTGGTAGCACATGGTAACATGGTAGCACCTTCAGTTCTTCAAAAATAATTCATAAATACCTTCCTCCTCTGTTGTTGTCTAAATGTCATGTTGTCTCATTTTTTCAGAGAAGTTAATTAACCTGGTGATATGGTGACGTAGTGACACCTTCAGTTCTTCAAAAATGCTTCATAAATACCTTCCTCCTGTGTTGTTGTCTAAATGTCATGTTGTCTCATTTTTTCAGAGAAGTTAATTAACCTGGTGACATGGTGACGTAGTGACACCTTCAGTTCTTCAAAAATAATTAATTATTGAATAACCTGAAAACATTAACGTAAACATTATTTTTGGGTCAATTACACTCATTACGATGAAATCTTGACAAAACATTTACGATGAAGTCATGACAAAACATTTACGATGAAGTCTTGACAAAACATTTACGATGAAGTTTATTTCCTGGACTGTTGTCTAAATGTCATGTTGTCAGTAATTTTAAGAGAAGTTAATTAACCTGGTGACATGGTGACGTAGTGACACCTAAAAACCATCTACCCTAAACATTATTTTTGCTGAATTCAGCAACAAAATGAACGAGGTCAGGATGTATGTAAATACCTTTGAATTCATTCATAACGCCTTAGTAAGCTCACAAAATGTTTGTTTTGAGGTTGAGCCACTTTTGGCTCGACCGTATTCTTTCAACCAAAACTCAAGAATTTTCCTGCGTGAATTTTGTATAAAAAGCAACCGTCTGAATTCCGGCGATTGCTATATTCTTCACAAAACATTTACGATGAGGTCATGACAAAACATTTACGATGAGGTCATAACAAAACATTTACGTTTAAGTTCCATGAGGTCATAACAAAACATTTACGATGAGGTCATGACAAAACATATACGATGAGGTCATGACAAAACATTTACGAAGAAGTTTTGACAAAACATTTACGATGAGGTCATGACAAAACATTTACGATGAGGTCATGACAAAACATTTACGTTTAAGTTCCATGAGGTCATGACAAAACATATACGTTTAAGTTCCATGAGGTCATAACAAAACATTTACGTTTAAGTTCCATGAGGTCATGTTAGAAAACATGTTAGAAAAGGTGTTAGATCTAACATTCTAACATAAACATTATTTTTGGATCATTTACACTCATTACGAAGAAATCATGACAAAACATTTACGATGAGGTCATGACAAAACATTTACGAAGAAACCTTGACAAAGCATATACGATGAAGAAATCATGACAAAACATATACGATGAGGTCATGACAAAGCATATACGAAGAAGTTTTGACAAAACATATACGTTCATGTTTGACAAAACATATACGTTCATGTTTGACAAAACATATACGTTCATGTTTGACAAAATATATACGAAGAAATCATGACAAAACATTTACGAAGAAATCATGACAAAACATTTACGATGAAATCATGACAAAACATTTACGATGAAATCATGACAAAACATTTACGATGAGGTCATGACAAAACATTTACGATGAGGTCATAACAAAACATTTACGATGAGGTCATGACAAAACATTTACGATGAGGTCATGACAAAACATTTACGAAGAAATCATGACAAAACATTTATGTTATACAGTAATGTTAGTCATGAATGTTTGTCCTAAGTGTTGGCGTTAGTGTTGAAAAATAATGTTTGTCCTACATGAAGCCGTACAAGCGTTTGAATTTGTTTATGCATAAAATTACTCTCTTGTTTTCTGTATCTATCATACAAACATAAGCATCACCTGTTTTTGTAAAGTTTATATGAAGTTTTCGATAGTTAAGACCTGTATAATAATAGAATGCGTCCTCATTCTCAACATAGTAGTAGAACTCAAACGAATGCTTACCATAATCTGTTATTTCAACAGCTTCGTCAGATATTTCATCAACGAACTCATAAACTATATCGCCATACTTGCTTTTATTTCTATTGTTTTCAGATCTAGAACACCAACGAAGGTTTGAGATTCTGTTGTCCGTTCTATCATGATTTATATGGTCTATTTCTTTCAAATTGTTTGGATTTTCAATCCACTGTTCTGCAATAATTCTATGCTTTAAATGCGTTTTGTTGTTTAAACTAAGCTCAATATAACCATGATTATTTAAGCATTCACTCTTAATATGTTTGTTTTTCTTTCGACGAATAGTAAAAGGATATGTCGTACAAATCTCATAATCTTCATGATTTCTCAATGTTTCCCATTGAGTTTGTTCCCCACTAACGTTCTCATTGACGTCCTCAATATCTTCTTCCTCACTGAACTCGTCAATATTTTCACTAGCTCCTTCTGTAATGTTTTCATCGGCATTGTCATTGACTTCTTCTGTAATGTTAGATGTTGTTGTTTCGCTCATGTTCTTTCACTAATGTTAAAAGTTATGTTGTACGAATTTTGAACAGAATTTAGAGCAGTTATGAAACAATGAAGTATTTTTAAGCTATTGAAAGGAACTATGAGAGTGAAGTACATGACAGCAATGACAAAAGGAACTAATATCAAACCTAATGAAATCGCTCACGAGGACATAGAGCTTAACAAGTACTTTGTGGAGTATCTTATAAGTGAAGGGTATGTAAGACCTTACTTCATGTTTGACAGCATGAATGAGGATGTTATTTCATGGTTAAAGAATATAAGCAATGTTTTCGGTAAGTACGTCATAGATGACAAAGGTCTTGTTGTATTTTATGAGACAGCAATACGAACACAGGAACTAATGGATATTATGCACTCAACAGCAAAGAAAGGATTTAGTACTATTGGCATGAATGAACATTGTAGGAATGACATATACAACCTATGCTCACGAAAGCCTTACACAAAAGCAATACAAATGATAGAACATAAGCGTCTAAGGTCAGCAAATGAAATCATTACTGTCAGTGGTTATGAAAGAACTGTTAGCAAAGATGAGTGGAAACAGCTATTCATATTAAGGAAGGGCGTTGCTGAACTAGTTAAACCTGTTGCACAAACATTGTTTCAGATAAGACCAGCAATGACTAAGAACCCTTTGACCTTAGTCAATGAGACCATAGAGGTTGAAGATAATGACATGAAAGAACTAGGAATGAATGAGAGAAGTTGTGAAGGATGTTTGAGTCAAAACACATGGTTCTTTAGAGCTGTTAAGAAACTTAGTAAAGAACGACAGAAATATTTTATAGAGAAGTATTGCAAAGGATGTGTAAATGAATTGTTTGAAATAGAACTTAGAGACACTTTCACACTAAAGGACTTGAGGAAAAATAAGTACATGAGTGAGGACGGTATTGACATAGCTAGTGTTATAAATGACTTAAGAAGATGTGTTGTTGTTATTGACGGAGCACGTATGACATATCTAGTGAAAGATTATGATGGAATACGAGACACAACAACACTTGTGTCAGTAGATAGCAAGGAATTCAATAAGCTCATGAAGAGTGTTTATGTAGGACGTATTGAGGAGAAGGATGTGAACGCACTGATGATTTATGAAGCGGGTCAGAACAAGAACTATCTTATGAAGTCAGGCATGAGATTCTTTGACGAAAGAGATGACATTTACAGCTATTTCAGAGGATATGAGTATGAGGTACTGAATGAAGTAGATGAAAGCGTTATTGAAGGATATTTGAAACATGTTCACGATGTCATATGTAATGAGGATGAAGAGCTTTATGAGTATGTTTTGAACTGGTTCGCCTACATCGTTCAAAATCCTTGTGGAAAGACTGGAACAGTACTTTTGTTAATAGGAAAGCAAGGAACTGGTAAGAATGTACTTAGTAATGTTCTATGCGAGCTCATTAGCAAGTACGCCAACAATAATATAACGGCAATAGAGAATGTGGTTGGTAGATTCAATGCTGCTATTGAGAACATGAAGCTCATCGTATGCAATGAACTAAGCTCATGCGATACGTCTAAGGTCATGAACCACGACGCACTAAAGTCAATAGTAACAGAGACTCAGTTGGACTTAAATCAGAAGTGTCAGCCAGTAAGAAAGATAGAGAATGTTTGTAATATCATCATGATATCTAACAACTTCAACTCAGTAAAGATTGATAAAGACGACAAAAGATTTGTTGTCATTGACGTAAGCAGCAGATACAAAGGAAATTACGAATATTTCTCAAATCTCATTGAAAGCTTTAATGAAGAGTTTTATTCAAACTTACTGACGTACTTCATGAAGAAAGATTTAAGTGAATTTGATGTAAGGAAGATACCATTCACCAGGGCTAAACAAGAACTCATCGAAATGAACAAAACACCTTACCAAATGTTTTACGAGGAGTTCTATGAAAAGTTTGTATCCGGATGGAATTGTACAGAGTGCTACAGAAGATATAAAGAATTTGCGAAGGAGAATGAATTCTTTGCATGTAGTTCAAATGTATTTGGTGGCAAGATGAGAGAATTTGTGAAGAGAAGTAGAAAGCGAGACGGTTCTGCAAGAAGTTATATTTATGAAGCAAGTATGATATTAGAAGGTCGTGGAAAGAAAGAAACAGTGAATTATGAGGAAGTGCTTGAAAAATTCATGGAGTACATGGGAAGCAATATAACATACAACAAAGACATATACAGTGAGTTTAAGTACTATTGTGAACAGCATGAGATTGAAGTAATGAGTAAAGGAGACTTTGAAACGCTTATGAAAGACAGTAAGGAGGTCGTTCATGAGAACAGTGTTGAAATAGTTCATGAGAACAGTGAGGAGGTCATACATGAGAACAGTGATGAAATAGTTCATGAGAACAGTGTTGAAATAGTTCATGAGAACAGTGAGGAGGTCATACATGAGAACAGTGATGAAATAGTTCATGAGAACAGTGAGGAGGTCATACATGAATGCAATGATGAAATAGTTCATGATGTCGTTCGTGAAGAAGCCATTGCAACAAAGAATGAGATAAAGGATTTCATAGAACTTAACAAGGAGGAGTTTAAAGAAGGCTATGAAGTGAAAAGATGTGAAGAAGATTTCTTGGCGTATTTGAAGAAAAAGAGACTAAAGCCAATGGCTCAAAATAAGTTTCAATCGATGTTTGAAAAGAAACGTTTGAGCTATGGTGGTGTAAGAAGCACATATTACTTTGTTAAGAAGTGAGGACACTTATTTTTGTCGTTAGTGTTGGAGTTTGTGTTTGTTGTTAGTGAGAGAATAAATTAAATCATGAACTTTGCCATGGTCTCTGTCCCTAGTAGTTTTCATTAAGTTCTGGAAATAATGAAAGTCATAAACTTTGCCATGGTCTCTGTCCCTAGTAGTTTTCATTATCTCACAGAGTTAATGAAAGTCATACTTTCTATCAGATGAAGCATGCAGATGAACATAATGAAAGTTAGTGAGTTTGCCACGAGTTATGAATAAAATATTGGCATATTAGATGAGATATCTGATGAAACAGATGAAGATAAATTAAATCTTGGACTTTGCCACACTCTGTCCCTAGTTCCTCAAAATCCTTGACAACGTTGCTTAGAAATTTTGGTTCAAAACCTCATCTGATTTTAATCTGTTATGCTACCTGTTAAGTTTCGCGAGATTATAAATGTCATGGAGTTATATAAAAAGGAGGGACAGCTAGGGACACTGGAAGTACTTGTAAGGCTATCTGTTAAGATTGCATGAAATACTAAAAAGTCATGAAATCCATTATCGCTGTGCTAGCTTCACCTTAGAGTAAAATGACGACTAAAGTCACTGACGCAATGAAACAAAAGTTTTTGGTAGAATACATTAAATCAGGAACTATTCCAGAAGGTTTTTACGTTCATACTATGAAGGATGGTAGAGTTCAGTTTAGAAAGATAAAGCAACCATTAGATAAAGAAGGAATTTTGAGAAAGATTAAACTTCATGAGGACAACATTGCTGAACTTAGGAAGAAGTTAGAAGAGTTGGAGAAAGCAGACGACAGTGAGGAATAAAGCAATGAATTCAACAGGGTAGAAATGAGGTTAGAAATCGGGTTAGATCTCACCACTTCACCTAAATTTATTTTTGTGCTATGTTTTCATACGTGTGAGGGTGGTGATATCATTTATTTTTTATTTTATTTTTTATTTTACTGAAAATTTTTATTTTATTTGGATGTAATGACAGAACAAAAGCAACTCATACAAATCAAAACATATAACAAACATACATTTAAACATTTATTCTTCCTTCCTGAGCATAACATGTTCTTTCAAATACATCCGAGACCAGTTGACTTTTCATTGACTGTTTATAAAGATAGAAATAGTTATATCATTAAACCATACGATGACGAAGGTAAGTTATGTAAATTGTACGTTAAGAAGTTAGAGAAAGTTTATGGCTTCAAGTATGACTACAATAGGGTTAACACTGATGATGAAGATATTGAGGAAAATTTATGAGAACATTAGTGAAGTTGTTAGTGAGAACGATAGTGAGGTGAAATTGTTGGCGGCTTTGTAAATATTTAAGGTTAAGTTAGTTTTTGCGTTCATGTTGTAAAATATACGTTAACGGTTTTGTAAAGTGTCAAATTCACAAGTATTGGGTAAGGTGGAACGCAGTGCCACCATACCCAAGACTTGTATACTAACTACTTTGAGAAAATTAAGATAAACGCAATCAATTATCTTAACGTCCTCAGCCACAATCCACCATCTCTTGAAATGATAGCAGATTTTCATCCTGATTTGATACAACTTCCACAGACACTCAGAAAAACTCATGATAAGCCTAAAAAACAAAAGCTTGGTATCAAGCTTGGAAAAAATCTCAGTTTTCTTGCCGTTATTGTTCAACTTATTACATTTCGACCATTAATGCACAAACTATTTGACGAATTATTCTCTAATCCCAATGAGCAACAGTTAATATACAAAGAAATATTATCGCTCACAAATCGGAACTTTTCGGAAAATGCAGATGTTACTTATCTGTATCACCTGTACTCGAAACGGCAAAAGATACATCAAGCTGATCCAATTGATGCTTTCAAACAATTACAAGAATCGCTTGCATGTGAAGCTAGGCAACTAGATCTTATTGATTATTTCAAAAAATTCGGCTGGGGATTTACAGATAAAATTGACATTCCTCTTGTTAATAATAACGAACTTCAAGTTACTCCTACTTTTTCAGATTATCTTTTTATTGATGTTGCTGGTTTTACGTTTCCATTGGATGATTACACATGGAATAACAATCCAGCTGTAAAATCCAAACTAGTAGCCATAATAACTTATCACAGTCGACAATATAATATTATTATTTTGGACGAAAACATCAATTCATGGATTCTCTTTTGGAATACCAAAATATCTTACATTCGTGATGAGGAATTGGCGAATAATTTAAACAAAGGCGCATATAATACACCGAAATATTTGATTTTCGAAAAAATTTAGGTTTTTCAAAAATTAAATCTTTCATTTGTAATGTATGAATAAAATGTATGTATTTGATATAATTGATACATTCGAAATTTTTATTCTGAAAAAAATAATAAACAATTTTTGGCTTTTGTGATCTGATAATCTGTAAGAATAAATACCGACAAATTTTATTAATATTCATCGTAAAAGTATTCGGCTCTTGATGTAAATAAGGAATTTTTTTTTCAAAAGTTGCTTTTGAAGACTCTTTTATCAAGTAGCTGCATTTATTCATTGATAAGAAAGTATGCTGTACCAAAAATCGATAATTCACCACATTAACGGCCAATTTTGTTTTGCATTTCGACAAAAAAGCTCCTTTTATATAACATTACTGGGCGAAAATTAGAGTATCTACGATGACAAAACAAAATACATCAACTTGATTTTTTGCCGAGAAAAATGTTTTTGGATGTACCAAAATAGGTCTCGAAAAGCATTGGTTTTATTTAAGGTTATTTTTCTGAGGGGGAGCTATCGTCTATAGGGCACCCTTAAACCAAATCAGAATTTAGTAAACAAAAGAAGTGATCCCTTAAGAGTGCATTTACGACTTTCTGACATGCTCTCATAATATCAATGTATCTTTAATTTAATAGTAAATATGGATTACAGACATAGAATGTTTATAATAACTTTTCTCGGACTTAAGTAGTTTCAATGAATTTCGAAAACAAATGATTACTGTGATTATTTATGAACCACATTAACATGGCATGTATAATTGAAGCATTAACATTATGTAAAAGGTTTTAGATGTTTGATCCTATACATATGATATATCATTAAACGAGTTTACATACCATATTAGCTTACATAATATGGTATGAATGTTTGAAACATATAATCTCTATGTTCAATAAAAAAAGAGATGTAATATAAAAGTGATTTACTTCAAATTGCACCAATTGATTTAAGAAACTCTGCAATATCCTGATGCCCATTTTGATTTGCCCATGCGAGTGGGGTAAAACCATTTTGGGATCTTGCATCCTTATCAGCTCCTATAGAAATTAGATATTTTACGACTTCAATGCTTCCAGACATTGCAGCATATATGAGTGGAGTCGATCTGAAATGATCTTTTGTTTCCAAGTTACTACCACTTTCGATAAGATATTTCACAATCTCAAGATGGCCATTGTATGAAGCATGATGAATAGGAGCTGTAAGTTTGTTATTTGCTCCATTTATATCAGCTTTAGCAGAGATTAAATATTTAACAACTTCAAGATGTCCTTTACAGCATGCAAAGTTAAGTGGTGTTTCTCCATTATTATCTTTAATTTCTTTGTTGTATCCTAATTCAACTAAGGGCTTAACAATGCCAAGGTTTCCGATTTCGCATGCAGCATGAAGAATGGATTTTCCATCTTCAGTTCGTACATCACAGAGTCCTTGTTTATATGCCACATATAATTTATTTTGATATTGTTCTTTGGAAAGCTCATCAATTAAATTGAAAACTTCATCAAAATTATTTGATGTTTTGAGTTCTTCGATTTTTGCTGAAAAATCTTTGACATTTTGATGAGTGTTCTGATTGTTGTGATTTCTTGTTCTAATAATCGAATCACTAAATGATTTGAGAACTTCTTGAGATATAATTTCATCAACATTTTCTCTGATTTCTTCAAGAATCTGTTGACTACAAAATTCAACATTAATCATACTCAACAAAGCAGAGAAAACTGGATCTTTCTGCTTTAATGAAACGATAAATCTAGCAAGTGAATCTTCATCTTTGATCATAAGTTTATCATTAGAAAGAATCTGTTGGATAATATCAAATCCAAGATTTTTGGAAATTGAAATGAGTTGCTGTTCATCAATTTTGAAGAAAAATAATGAAATTACATCAATACATTCATGAATCTTTTCGGGTGATTGAATTGTGAGATAATAATCAAGCATTTGAATGCAATTATCTGAATCGATTGGTTCTTGAGCCAAATTTTGATTTATATACAAGTTCATTAATTCACTCATACCAAGTAATGTACCAATATGGAAAAGATCCTTTAAAACTGTTTGGTTACATTCAATCTCGGGAACATCGTAATGAAGAATGTGTTCTAATACGTCGTATGTTTCCTGCGATTCCATTTCTACATTTATATTTACTGTATTGTTGAGATTATTTAACAAATACTTTGAATAGAAATTTTGTGAAAATGTGATTGCAAATGCTTTGTTAAATGTGATTGACACATCATTTATTGTTAAAACGACAGTTTCACATGGCTGATACCTATTAATTCTTTGAAGAAATTCGTTGTTTAGATGATAGACCGCCATTTGACAAAAATGATTTTAAAATTTCCATTGATTTCAAACGTCTTATAAAATTCCACTGATTTCGAAATATATTAAAAAATGGTCAGCCAATGAATATCACTATATTTGTGATAACCGCAAAACTTCAGCCATCAAGCCTTCAATTGAAAAAATTGAGAACAATTAACAATGACTTTGAAAATATTCATCCTCTAAAAATTCCAAAAATTAAAGTCAGATGGGTGTAAGTTAGCTCTTTGGTCCTGTGATATACTTACCAATATTATCAAATACTTAATTGTTTAGCCATTTGAAATTGATTACGAAAAAAAAAGGCTATTTTAATAGTTAATATTTCATCCACATAAAGCCCGATACAAGTTCATATTATTGATTCATCATAATAGTTTTAATTCGTAATAGAAATTCGAGTTGGAAAAGAGAAAAAAAAAGTTACTTTTTTTATTTAGAATGAAAAATTTTGATCTATTTCCAAAGGTAAAAAATGAATATCAAGGCGTTAAAACAATATCAGGTGGTATTATTACCATTTTGACATTTATTTTGATACAATTTTCCCTGATATTCTTCATAAAAGACGCTTTAAATTATAAAATTCAAGAATCTTTGCACCAGAACAATACTATTTTATCGGGTGATACGGAACTTTGGCTATCGTTTAATATAACTGTCGATGCTCCATGCAATTTTCTTCAAGTTTATATTACAGATGAATCAGGCCATCATCGGAAGCAGTCAATAAGAGCATTAATGAAACAAAATTTAGATAAAGACTACTGTCCTTATGGTGATTTCCAACTATTCACTAAAAATATATCTGACAACGGTGAATGTGGTTATTGCTACGGACATAAATACCAAGAATGCTGTTATACTTGTCTAGATGTTGTTTATGGTCATATTGCTACATATAGAGCTCCGCCAAGTTTAGAAGGTATTTCTCAGTGTAAAAGAGACTTAAATTTCTATAATAACGGTTCTAAATGCTTGTTAATGGGATCTACCAGAACTCCATACGCATATGGACAGTTGATAATCTCGATGAATTCCCAAAATCAAGTTCCGAAAAAGACTTTAATAGATAATACGCTAGTTACAAAGTATTTAAATCTTTCACATACAATAGGACACTTTTTCTTTGGAAAAGAGTCTAAATTTATTAAGAATCCTCTTGATTCCTATATTCAAATCCAAAATGATACAAAATATCATCAGTATATATATAGGCTGAGTCTTATACAAACGTCCATATATTATCCAGACCAAATATTTGCAACAACACAATATTCAGCCCATTTTTCAGATAAAATTCTCGAAAAAAAGAGTGAAGAGAGACCAGGAATAATTTTCAAGTTCAGTATATATCCAATCAATTCCAAGATCACTGTTACTAAAACGAAATTGCATTTCCTTCTTTTGAGCGTTTGTTCGATTATTGGAGGTGGATTTATGATTTCAAGCCTTATCCATTCGTGCCTAATATACTATCCCCAGCCTAGAAAACCTATAAAGCTTGTTTGAATAAATATAGAGTTTATGTTTGTATTAATTAAAAAAAATCATTTTTTATTTAATTCCTCAAAAGAATTAATCTCTTAAATGTTGTTTGTTCCATGTAAATTTTAATTTGGCCTCTCTAGTTTTAAGTTTTTCATCAAATTTTCATCATCTTAATGCAATTTTTATGATATTGAGATTTGTTGATGAACTAATAGATCATCCCTTGAAATATAAGACCATGATCAAACAGTTTTATGGATTCAATCATTTCATGTAAAAATACCAAATCACTTTTATGCTATTACTTTGAATACTCCATTTATCTTACCCATAGCTACAAAAATGTTTGATAGGATATTCATGTAGAAATTCTTTATTAATTCCAAAACAAATTCTTTCAATTATAAAAGCTACCATAATTTGGTATAGCTCTATGATGCATTAAAGTTGAAAAACCAAAGCAAGGTATTGTTATATTATTATTGACGTAATTAAGATTAAGAATATGTATTAAGTAAATTTCAGATAGACAAACATTGATTTTTTTATTCGACAACATGGAATTAGCAGTGAAAACAGTTTGTATTTAAACACTTTCGTTCTGCAATTCTTGTTCTTCAATTTGTACGGCAACTGCAGCAATTGCTGATCTTATTTGTTCCTGGATCTTTCTGAATTTGCTGGAAACAGGAGATCCTTGTAGAACATCCATGGAAATTGGAAAAACTGCATCTTGGAAGAAAGCATGGTTCATGAGTTTGAAGTAGGCTAATGCAAGCTTCTTATCAGATCCGAAGATATTTGATGCATAGGTTGCGCATAAACTGAAGAACCAAATTTCTAAAACAGAATCAGCATTTTCTTGTTCACTAACGGAGTAAGAAAAGACTGGTGATTGTAAAGCGAGGAAAATGTTCATGTCAAGCGGTTTGCCGTCTTCAGAATGGCTTAAAAATATTGTTGAAACTGAATCAAGAAGAGTTTGAGCCACTAATGGTGAGTTGAAGTTATATAATAAAAAGTTAATAATCTGTGCTGCAATGTTCATTCTTGAATCTATATCTACAAATGCCCACTGAAGCATTAGCTGAATAATAGATTTTAGAATATTCCCTGAAACATGTGCATTTGCGATTGGTTTCATTTTAAGAATTAATGATTGGAACCATAAAAATCCGTTTTCTTTATCTATCTTTTCTGTTTCAGCAAGATTTCCTGCTAACAAAGATTCTATTTCATTTGGATTTTCTAATTTCTTTATTTCGTCAGCCACTTTTCCCCAATATTCTTCGTACTTTGTCTTTGTTTCTTCAGAACTCATATTACGAAAGTGACAGTTTACATGAGAGAATAAAAAATACATTAATTCATGATTTCGTTGTTTATTCAAATGATAAAAATTAGTTTTTTTTAGTAATATTAGTAATATTAGTAATATTAGTTGGATCCCAGCAGTTAATTCCTGGTCTATCCATCTCTTCTGGATCAGATTGGTTAAACCAGTAGATTTGGAGCTTCTTGTAAAAATCATCAAGGCCCATTTTCGGTTCAACTGTCCATGAATCTTTGTATTGGACCTTTAAGCTACTGTCGGAGATAGATTTGGCGTATCTGCACTTATCATATACCTTATCAGCGTAACTCTTGCAAATTCTGACATTAGAATGATCAGTATAGATGATATTATTATTATTCTCAGTTCTAGTTTGTTTAACCACTGTTGTCATATACTTCATGTTAGGATGGAAAGCTAAGCATGGGAAGTCTTTTAATACAGTTTCGCATTCAGGAAACATATTTCGGGAAATTTGAGTTAATCGATCAAAATCGGAAATCGGATAATTAAGTATTTCTGGATCCACAAGGCATGCCTTCATTTCAAGAGTCTGAAACATGTTTTTACATCTTGAAAATTTGATTTGATCATCTGTAACTGTTGATACTTGTGAAGCGCTAGATTTTGGAAAAGAGTTGTTGACACAACCACCATTATATAGCGAATTAAGAAGCGAATTTGATAGGCGATTACTCGCAAAAAGTTGGAAGTATCTACTTGACAATGCAATTGATCGCTTAGCCCAAGGGATATCGAAGTATGATAAAACGTAACACCAACCATCTGGGTCGGTAGCGCATCGAAATGAATCATTGAAATCACGAAAATCGCTATATTTCCAAAATGAGAAATTTAAATAACCATTTGCTGTGGGAATCTCTTTCTTTCCGGTCGCATGTTTGGTCTGATTATAGGGCTTTTCGTTAAGGGCTGCTCTAGCTTGAGAAAGGAAGAAAAACATTTTTCTGTAATTATAAAAAAAAAATATGAGAATAAAATTTATTTCGAAGGTATAAAATTACCTTTCCCACGAAATAAGAAAGTTTATTTGAGGTTTAAGCCATCAAAGATACTTTTTGATAACTTTACAAAAATCGCAAGAATGAAAAATTTAATGGTAATTTCTATTATGTTTCCATTGTTTTGGAATGTAACGCATCAAACTCTTATCAAAAAAAGTTTTTCCCATGTATTATTTTAAAAGTTAATTTATTCCTTCAAGAAATTTGATTGTATTAGCATTACTACTTGAGTCATAATGGGTCAACGCTATTATTCTTTCTCGATCCAGGTAAGTTTGAAGTTATCGAAGAAATATAAGAATCTTAAAATATAATATTTGATATTACATACTTTAATCATACCATAGTTTGTTATATTGGTTTAAAAAAAATAACAAAACGTATCAATTCATTAACGGCGCGGTTCAATTTTAACGACATTTTTTAACGCGATACGAGCGTAAGTCCATAGAATGTGTTTTGAGGGAAACTATAAAAATCCAAAATAGAGGTAAGTGCGCCATTATTACCTGCGAAGTTACATGGAATAAATCGAAGAGTAAGTACAAGATGATCTTGCATCTTTCCAAGTAAATGAAATTTATTAAAATTAAGATGATAATATTCATTTATAGTATGTGTATGATGTTTTTTCAAAATTTCTTCAAATAAAATGCAATGATAATTTTTGAATAATTTTTTTCTTGTGTATATTCCATTTTTTATTAGTGAAAATATCATTACATCAATAAGGAAAGCACAATCCAAATTCATATTAGTTAAATTAATATACGACCAAAAGTGCTTACTCTTAAACAACCGTCGGATTTCCGGGTGAAATCGTGACACACTTTCGTCTTTCGTAGGCAGTGGTGGTTGTTACAAAAGGTAACTTCGAATGTAGCGTGAAATCTGCAAAAAAAAATTCTGAAATTTGAATGGAGAACACAAAAATTGAATAGTTTACGTCAATAAAAAAGAGAAAAATGAAGCCAATGTGTCTCGAACCTAGGACTTAGAGCAGCAATCCCATTGTTTATCCCATTACACTAGATGCGTCTCTCACCTCAGTGAATGAGATCAACTATAGCAACTTGTGGAAAAGTGACAAATAGCAACTTTGACCCTCTCTCTGCATTTTATTTGAAGAAATTTTGAAAAAACATCATACACATACTATAAATGAATATTATCATCTTAATTTTAATAAATTTCATTTACTTGGAAAGATGCAAGATCATCTTGTACTTACTCTTCGATTTATTCCATGTAACTTCGCAGGTAATAATGGCGCACTTACCTCTATTTTGGATTTTTATAGTTTCCCTCAAAACACATTCTATGGACTTACGCTCGTATCGCGTTAAAAAATGTCGTTAAAATTGCCCACACGCATTCATTAACTTATGTAACTTTTATCCTCAGAATAGATTATCCTAGTCTATTTTCAGTAGGAAATTAAAAGACGAATAGTACATTGACATTTTCAATATATAGTTTTTGAAGAATAATATATTCGATCAAGTTTCTTTATATTTCAAGGTTTAGAAGCTATTCTATCAAATATTGCAATTGTCATGATCCCAGAAATTCATCAAGCAATTGGATACGTGTAAAAATTGATAAAATTTTGATTTCGATATAAAAATAGTATCCCTATGCGAGATAGGAAATAATTAAAATATATCCGGCATCAAATTTACCGAACACAAATTGAGAGAATGAGTGAACGATTAGTGAAGAATACAAAAAACCGCCAAGAAAAATCCTCGAAAATGTCAACATGGTTTGGACAGATGAAGCCAGCTCGTATTGTTCAAAAGGCAATCGACGGCTTAAAGAATTACATGCAAGAGAATAATACTAAAGAAAAAAAGGCTGAATTTTTAGCGATTATTGATAAGAATTTTGGAAGAATGACCGATATTCTTTATAAGAGAAAAGAAGGTGATGAAGCAAGCTCTAGAGCACTTCAGTTAGTTACTGAAATTTCTCATACTGACTTCGTAATGCTCGGACTTGACGCAATGCCATTTCTTCCAGTCGAGCAAAGAAAGCAATTCACAATCATATTCACAGGAGCAATCTCTCACCAGACTGGATCAGAATTCCCTCTTGCAATTTATGTTCAGAGATATCCTGAAACTCTTGATATCTTATTAAAATTTTACGATACACCAGAGCTTGCAGCTTCCACTGGCGAAATGCTTAGACTTTGCGCCCACCATGAAACACTTGCTAAGCAATTACTTCAACCAGCGAGATTAGATCTTCTTTTCACATATTTCACTGTTCCTCACTTTGATGTTTCAGCAGATTCATTCGCCACATTCCGCGAACTTATCCTCTGCTCACCAAACGCCGAAGATTATATCAAGGACAATGCCCAGCAAATTACAGATAGAATTCACGGAACTCTCGATGAAAAGAACTACGCTGCTTGCAGACAATCCCTTAAACTTATCGGCGAGATTATTATGACATACCCATCTTACCAGCAATTCTATCTCAGAAATGAAAAGAATTTGATGACAATGATGAAGCTTATGTCATCCCAATATAAGAATTTATCCATGGAAGCATTTCATATATTTAAGCTCTTCGTTGCAATCGATGATAAACCAGAGCCAATCCTCAAAATCCTTCGCGCAAACTCAGAAAAGCTCAAGGTTTTCATCAAAGGCCTCCTCGATGGCATAGAAGATGCTGAACTCCAGAGAGAAAAGGATTACTTACTCATGGAACTCGCTTACTTGAAGCCGGAATCAAATTAATTTGTCCCTTTTTAAAAATTCATTTATCTTTATTTTATAACTCAAATATTATTTATGAATCTAATATACCTAAAGATATTTTTCGTAATTTTGAAAAATTCTTTTAAAATAATCAATAATTAACCAATTTTATATGGTTTAATCTTCTAATTTATTATAATACATTTGATTTAACCTATTAATTATTAGATTTTATGATTTAAATATCGAAATACAATCTATATTTCGTTCAAAAAATATATAAAAACATTAAATTTTATAATAATTGAAGATTTAAGCAATAATTTATTAAATAGTACCATACAGATTTTGAAAATAATGTTAATAAAATTCCAAAAAAATCATGAAAATAAAAAAATGCATAAAAAAATCAAGGAATTTATTTTCATAATTTCAAATTCGGAATTTTTTTGGAAGTTAAACGAGAAACAAATCATATTCAAATCCATGTATAAGCAACAAATCGTGGTAATTTTGATGAAAATTGATAATTTAGAGATAAAATGAAAAAATTCATAAAAATAAAGGTGATTTATAGGATAAGTAATAGACATTTTACTTAAATAATAACATACATATATTTTTACTTCTTCACGGCTTCATTAGAATTCAATAATGAAGTGAATAAAGTTGTTGACTCTTGGATTATGGATTTCGATGGAATATCACACCTAAGAACATAAAGAGTTCCATTTGAGTGACCAACAAGAAGTTTTCCTGACTTATCAAAAGAAAGGAATGTATTTCCAGGAGAAGGAACTTTCCATGTTAAATCTGTCTGTGGGGCATCCAAGGTTTTGGATGGAGGTATAATAAATGCGTGAAGTGTAGGATTATTCGAAGAAATGGCGATTAAATTTGTCTTTGAGTCGAAAGCCATTGAATTTATCTCAACCGGCAGTCTGCCTCTTCTAAACTCTGCAAATTGCTCGCCTGTCTCTGTCATCCATACTCTTATGCAAGTTCCAGATTCAGAAGCCGTAGCTACGTAGTTTCCTCCATTGTTCAGTTTGAATTTCGATATGCTATGGTTATGAGCTTTAAACATAAGATCATTACCTTCTCCTGTAACAATTCTTGCGGTAGATAAATCTTTTCCGGTTACAGCAACCATAAATGAGTTTCTATGAACACAGAAATCGGAAGAGAGGAAACTGTTAACCGGATTACGGAACTGGCAATAAAGCATTGGTGGATCGAACGTATATAAGCGCATTTCTGTTTTTGTTGTCACCGAAAACATAGACGGGAGCATTTTAATCTTAACAATGGGGTCTGGCATTGATAATTCGAATACATTTCTGCCAATAGAATCATCGTAAACCATAAGATCAGTATTAGAGAAAGAAGACTGACCTGCAATACCGCTACATATAATAATACTGGAATTTGGTATTGTTGAAGTTAATCCAATTTCTTTATCTTGGAAGTTTTTATTTATTAATAAACGCAAAGGGTTTGTTGAGAAAATAGCAAACCCATTTGAAAGACTGACAGTCATGATTTCTCCATCATCGGAAAAATCAATTGAATTGATTCTTGGGGTTGGATTCATTTGAGTGATAATTTTGTCACTTTTCGGAAAAGGTGACAAATAAAAAAAATCATCTTTGATTGAAAAAACAGTTTATGTGCATAAAGCTTTATTTTTGAAACTGAATGGACAAGTATGGATTAATGATGGTTTTACTCTCAACCAGTTGGCATTTCCAAACTTCAAAAAATTTATTTTTGACATGTAAATCACCTAACGTGCTTATTGCAAATGTTATGAAAGATCTAAGAAATCAAAAAATGCTTGCTTAATAATAGAACGAACGAATATTCGAAAATTAAACCAATTTACACCAAGTATTCTATTCAAATATTGACACTTTTAGCAAATACAAAAAATATGGCGGATCTAATTCTTGATCGCGCCACGCTTTTTATACGAGAAACATACCATGACATATATCCAGATGAAGTTCCTGAAGTTGAATATTTCACGGGACGTCCTCTTAACTTAACTGAAGAGACAGAATTAATTGATGAACACACATCAGCAGATGGACACAGAATTGTATGTGCTAATGAAATATTTGAGGATAGTAATGGCATGCGTTTCAGAGTTATCGATGTACTTGGTAATGGCACATATTCATATGTATATAAATGTCAAGTTGTTACAGAACCAACGCGCTTTGTCGCCTTAAAAATACTCAAAAACCAACCTCAATATCGCGCTACTGGTATAGCTGAAATTATGATTCATCAACAAATGCAAAAAGCACCGGATATGGACGGAAAACAGCATGTTGGAAATCCAATCTCTACGTTCGAGATCAACGGGCACATATGCATGGTTATGGATCTATTACAGCGATCACTTTTCGAAGGTATTGGACAAGACGACCCGCCTTTAGTGCTTTTATCGACAATTAGAACTATTTGCACACAGTTACTTAAAGCCCTTAATTTTGTTCATAATAATGGCATTATTCATTGCGATGTAAAACCAGATAATATCATGTATTCAAACGAATCAAACGATAATATTTTACTTATCGATTTTGGATCCGCTACAAACCAACCACCACAGATTGGGCAATATATTCAATCCAGATTCTACAGAAGCCCTGAAATTATGTTGGGTTTGCCTTACGATCAAAAAATAGACATATGGAGTGTAGGATGTATTGCTGCGGAACTTTACCTTGATTTTGCTATATTCGCATGCGATTCTGAGATAGATTCCATTCATTCTATGGTCGGACTACTCGGTCCAATAGATCAATCGATCATTGCCAAGTCCAGAGGATGGTGGAAATTCTACGATATGACTCCTGAGGGATATACCCTTAAAATGGACCCAATTGACGTTTTAATGAACAGACATCTTTACCATGAAACAGTTTTTGAGGTAATTGGAGTTAGACCACTCCACCAAATGCTTTTGGATCATTTTCCATTAACTTCTGATGAAGAATTTGAAACTTTAAATACATTTAACCATTTCGTTCACTCGTTGCTGAACTTTGATCCTGATCAAAGATTAACAGCAGCTCAAGCTTTACAACATCCATTTATTACGGAAGAAAAACTTCCAGATGATTGGGAACCTCCTGCTGAAACAATGTACGAAGGAGAGTCCATCGGAGAATCACAGTATCAAGGACATCAAGATACAGATTTTATTTCTTTGTTTTAAACAATATTGTTGTATTATTATATTTTTAATTTTTTTTCTATTCATTAAATACAAAATTTATAATGATATTCTTGAAATAAACAAGAAGATCAAGCTCATTTCTTTAGAGAAAAGAAGTTAAATTGAAAGAGTGGAAGTTCAGGAAATTGATCTCCGGAAAAAAATTCTACCGATCGAAAGTTGCAAATGAAAAATATCTGTTTTTGATCTTATGTATCCATATTTACCTATTTATTCAATAATCCGGTGGATAAAATTTCCCAATATTTCTTTTATACATACAACAGCTTCCATTTTCTAAATAAAGCTTCAACTCCTATTATTGAATTGGAAATATAACTTTCCAAGCCAATTAACATGGTATTGTAGCTCAAATCACGAAATTAAAGATAAAAATCATTATTTTTTCTCGAAAAATTGAAAAGGTTTTTAACGTTGATTTGAGAAGTGTCACTTTTCCCACCGTAATAACAATGAAAATATGCAAACGTACACAGCATACAGATTAATTGTAATGGAAATTCAATAAACCCGTGAAAATTCTATTCATTTTTTTATTGTAAATTTTTTTTCTGTCAAAATGCGGCAATCAAGAACAGCATCATTTCAAGACACAGACCTCAAAGCGTTAGCTGAATGGACTGATGCAGAACGAAAGTCTACATGTCTAACAATTTGGGTCGATTGTTTACACATGCAAGTAGCATTATGTCCTCCAAACGCAATCAAAAAAACAATTTATCTAAATCCAATCAAAGTTAACAAGGCATCTGACGTGATGGCCAATTTTGAAGACCTAAGATGCGCTATTGCGGCTCAAAAATGCCAAATAGGTTTTGCGACGATGAGCTTTGCAGGTCCTGTTTCTCAGGATCACGTTATCATTACTAACTGGCTCTGTGAAGCTCGTGAACGTGTTATTCACTTCACATCTTTACCATTCGATCTATTTCCTCTTGATCGTCGTTTATTCATGAATGATCTTGAAGCAGCGTCATATGGTATTATCGCTCGCTTTATCAACGGATCGCTTCCAAAGATATTTAAACCACTTTGGCTTGCAGATCCTTCAGCTCCCTTCTTAACATCGCTTGACGGTACATCCCTTGTCGTCTGGATCGGTGGAGGCCTCGGCGCAAGCTATATCAGTAGAGTTGATACGGCAGATTACAATTGCGTTGTTTCATCGGAATCTGGCCATGCCCAGGCAAATTCATTACCACCATGGCATCCAGATTTCGATAAAGAACGAGAATTCCAGCGCTTTGTCTCTCAAAAATTACACGGCGAAGCACATCAAGCAGAATGGGAAGATTTTTGCAGCATAAGAGGCTTAGAGCTTGCATATCAGTTCATCAATAAAACACGTGGTGGAGAACCAGCTCCACAAGCAAAATACGACGAAATCAGAACAATGGCGTTGAACAAAGACTTTACAGCTATCGAAGCCTTCAAGATACACTACAAATACATCGTTAGATGCTTACAATCTTTAGTTCTTACGATCAGATGTAAAAGAGTTTTTATCATCTCAGAAGATGAAGTTAAGAACTATCCGATTATCGAATCATTCAAGGATATGCTTTATGATGTTTTCATTGATCATCCGAGATCAAATTGGTTTAAGAATATTGACATGTACACTCAAGTTTCTACATCAACGTTCGCTCTTTCTGGAGGTTTGTTCTTGTCAAAGATGTTTACTGTTACTCACCAAAATCAAAACCATTTTGATTGAAATTATTTTATTTCTAATTTTCTGTGTTTTATTATTAAAGCATCATTATTTATCCTTTTTAGTTTATTATTAACATTTCTGATCATTTTAATTGACTTCAAAATCAAAAAAAGAGTATTTTTTTGAAATTTTGTTCAAGAAGTTATTCGACTCTTATGGATATGAATACGGATAAACTATTTGAACATATTTTTAGGTGGGAAACCAGAGTTCATGAGTGAATGTTTGAAATATCACGACCCAAATCAAGTATGCATGGAACATGCAATTATTTCACACAATATTGATTTTGTTACATTCTTGATGAACGAATATAAATTAGATATATCTTTATATCATTGCACAGTTTTTAAAAACCTTGAATCATTTTATGTTTATTTCGACCAAACTAATGATATTAACACATGTTTTGCTTATTCATTGAAGTTTAATGTTACATCCCTTTTCGAATATTTCTTTTCACTTGGTGCTGATATCAAAGCAAAAAATGATTGTCAACAAACCGCTCTTCATTGTGCAGCCGATAATAATAGTAAAGAAATGGCTGAATTTCTTATTTCACATGGTGCAAATGTCAATAAAAAAAGATAATAATGGGCAAACCGCTCTTCATTATTCATCAACAAAGAATTATAAAGAAATCGCCGAACTTCTTATTTCACAATATGCATAATTATAGACAAACAGCTCTTTATATAGTAGCACGTGAAAATGGTAAAGAAACAGCCGAATTTCTTATATCACATGGTGTAAATATTAATGAAAAGGACAATGATGGAAATACCGCTCTTCATTATGCAGCATTAAGGGTGCACTTACCACTTTCTGACATGTTCCAACAATATCAATATATCTTTATAGTGAATGCAAAAAAGTATAACAGTAATATAAGGTACTAAGTAGTTATTTAAAATAACTTCTTCCCGAACAAAGTTAATGGCTTTTTACCTTAGAAAATTTGGATAAAAAACTAGAATGTCAAAATAATTGAGGGAATGTCAGAAAGTGGTAAGTGCTCCCTTAAACAATAGTAAAGAAACAGCCGAAATTCTTATTTCACATGGTGCAAATATCAATGAAAAAGCTCAATATGGGAAAACTGCTCTTCATTATGTAGCATGCAATAATGATAAAGAAATAATCGAATTTCTTATTTCACATGGTGCAAATATCAATGAAAAAGATGATTTTGGGCGAACCACTCTTCATATTGCAGCATGTTATAATAATAAAGAAACCACTGAACTTCTTATTTCACATGGTGGAAATATCAATGAAAAAGCTCAATATGGGAAACCGCTCTTCATAGAGTAGCACGTGAAAATAGTAAAGAAACAGCCTAACTTCTTATTTCATATGGTATAAATATCAATAAAAAAGATGATGACGGAAAAACCGCTGCTGATTATGCAGCCGATAGAAATAATAAGAAACATGTGAAAATCCATTTTAAATAAGTGCTGTCTAATCCATACAAATGATTAAAAAAAAAAGAAAAAACTAGAAATATATAAAACAATGATGAATATGAAAAGAAAAATAATTCAACAAGGTCGCTATTACAAAAATGAGATATTTTTTAAATTATAGAATTAACAAATTATAGTTTATATTTGAGAATATGTTTGAGAATTCTTCTCCATCGACACAGAAATCGCTGGATTGTGATGGAATCTCTTCCTTCTATAGAGTAAAAACAAAATTAAAACAATAACTAAAATAACAGCAATAGATATGATAATTAATGAAACTAATAATGCGGTCGAAATTGATTTGGAGTTATTGCCACAGTATGAATTATCTTTCGTGACTTTCATTCCTCCAAATTTATTGAGTTTGTACTTCTTTGAAACAATGACATTATTAACACTCTTTGCATTCTTCAGGAAGTCATCACTTTCCGAGAAATTTCCATTCTCTCCGCAATAAACAAAATCATGTATTTCAACATCTTTAAATGCTGATGATTCGATCTTTTTAATTGAAGAATAAACATGAACATTCAACTCAGTATTCAAGTCAAATAAATTATTATCAATAACAATTTCTTTTGACACATTAAATATAGTTAAATTCTTCATATATTTGAAGAGTTTCAATGAAACAAGTTTTGTCAAATTTTCATTATTGAAACTGACAAATTTGATATGATTAGAGATATCAAACTTGTAATTGAAATCAATATCACATTTAATAGTTAGATTTGACAGCGCTTTACAGCCATAGAAAGCGTATTTTCCTATTGAAGAAATCTTTTCTGGTAGTTCTAAATTCGATAAATTCTTACATCCATAAAAAGAAAACTGACCAATTTCTGTAAGATTCTCATTAAATGAAATCAAAGATAAGTAAGGACAATTATAGAAGGCGAAAGGAAGAATCTTTTCAACTGATTTCGACAAGATTAACTCTTCCAAATTCGTGCAAGAATAGAAACTATAATTTCCAATAATTTTGAGTTCATCACTAAATTCCAATTTCATTAATGACAAACAATTACAAAATGCTCTTGGAGCAATTTCTCCTGTTATTTTAGACATATTTATCTCTCTGAGTGAATAACAGTTCTCGAAACATCCTTCTTCCATTCTATTGATATGGCAATTTAACGTGATTTTTGTCAAACTGTTGCAATTATAAAACAAATATTTTGGTAAATATGTTGAATAGAAAATAACATTTGATAACTTGGAACATCCCGCGAAAGAGTACTCTCCAATTTTAGTTAAAACTTGCGGCAAAACTATATCTTCTAAACTATCGCAATTCATGAAAACTTGGCTGCCAATTTCAGAAACAAAACGAGACATTTCTATTCTCTTCAAGTTTATGCAATTAATAAATGTCATGTTTTGTATTGGTTTAACTAAAGAAGTCAAATTAACTGATTCCAAACAAGGACAATTTCCAAAACAATTCGCTCCAATTTCATTAACATTTGTTAAATCAATATCAATTAATTGAGAACAATAGCTAAAAACGTTGTTTCCTAATTTCTTGACATTAATTGGAAGAGATACTTTCCATAACAAAGAACAGTTTTCAAATGCGTTGTCATCAATACAATAAACAGTTTCAGGAATTTGAATTGTCAATAATTTTTGATTTCCTGAAAACAAGAACTTTGGAACTCTATCGATGTTTTTAGGCCAAACAATCCATTTAATTGACGAACAACCACTTAAAATACCATCACCAATTTTAGAAGAAATTGATGGGAAAATAAATTGTGTCGTTGCAATGTTTTGACTGAAACAATAATCACCTAAACTTGTTTGATTGTTTAGAAAAGTAATTGATGACAATTTCTCACATTTCATGAAAGATTTTATACCTATTCTCTCTAATTTTTGTGGAAATGTTACCGATATCAATGAATTACATGAATTAAAACAAAAATCATCAATCAATTCTAAGTTTTCTGGGAAAATAACTTGAGTTAATTTATTGCAACCGTTGAAACAATATTTTCCTATTCTTGTTAATTTGATATTTGTCAAATTCAAAGTTGTCAAACCGCTACAACCGTCAAATAAATGATCTTCTAAAACATTGATATTATCATCAAAAGTAACATTAGTTAATCCGCTACAATCGCTAAATGCTCCAACTGATTTCGAAAGAAGTTCATTGATGTGCAAATTGTTCAATTTGACACATGAATCAAAAACAAAATTGTGAAGTGAAATTTCAGAATTTTCAATCGAAATTTTTTCAAGATTGAAGCAATTTTGGAAGGCGTAATCACCAATAACTTTAATGGTTAATGGAATAGTAAGTTCTTTTATTCCATAACATGAAGAAAAAGTTAAATTATTGATTTTTGATAATTTGCCAAAATTAATTTTTGACAAAGAAGTGCATTTTTTGAAGATTCCTATTCCAATGATACTATTATTATCAGTAAATGTTACTTCTTGTAAATTACTGCAATAATAAAAACAATAATCATCAAATGTCATGTTTACATTGTCAATTTCTAGTTGAGTGATGCTTGTGCATGAATAGAAACAGTTCTTTCCTATTCTTCGTAATGTTTTTGGAAGATTTGTAAAAATTAATGAAGTGCAACCAGAAAATGCTTCATCATCAATTATTTTTACTTGTTCTGGTATAGATATTTGCTTGAGAGAGATGCAGTTCTTGAAACAGCTCACAGGAATTGTTTCAATTTCATTTGATAAATCAATTGTTTCTAATTTTGAGCAACCTGCGAACATTTTGTGACTATAAGTTGAGTTGGATGCTGATTTACTAGGGAACACAACAGACATCAATGAAGTGCATCCTGAAAAGCAATCCATGCCGTAATTAATTCCGCTTTTTAGTTTTAAGCTTGCAAGGCTCGTACAGCCGCTAAATGCAGCAATACCTATTGATTTCAATAAAGGTTTGTCAATGTTAATTGTTGATATTTTAACGCACCTTTTGAAATTGTGATTATTCGTTCAGGAAGTTCAATACTGAGAAGATTTTTGCATCTAGAAAATGCATAGTTATCTATCAGCGTGAGATTGTTAGAAAGGTTAATACTTGTTAAATTTGTACAACCAGAAAATGCAAATTCAGAAATAGTTTCGAGACTATTTGGAAATTCTATATGTGATATACTTTGTTGTTGATAAAATGCGAATGGAATGATGCTATTTCCTCCAATAATTCTTAATTCATAGATATTTAGAGGTATTTTTGATTCAACAGATATATCACCATTACATTCCAGAGTCATCACATATTCTTCTGTGGTATTAGTACATGTTTGACTTGAAAAGATAAAGAAAAAGTAAGAAAGCATTTGAAAAATTTAGAATGCCATCATTTTTCAGCAATTTTTTGATTAAAGATAATCACAATTCTAAATACTCACCAATTTGCATGCATCAATAGGTTGAAAAAAAATTGAGAAGAAATAATTTTGCCAGGAAAACATTTCAATCTTATTCTGGATTATGAAACAACAGAGTATGAAAACCCTATGCATAGGAAAATTTATTGTACTAACTCAGTTTTTGAATTTGTGATTTAATTTTTCTCCGAACCATCCTTATTGGATATTTATACTTGTATTCACCTTATGAATATTTTTATTATGACATAGAATTTTTGGAATTTACACATGCTTTGACTGAAATCATTCAGGATCATAGCTATTTCAGAGATTTATTGATCAACACACATATAAAATTTGCTTAAAAATACATTTAATATCGAAGCTACTGCTTTACTCTTGCAAACAGCTATATTTACAAATATCAAATATTTCATATACAAGACTGAAACATAATAAATGCTAACAATAATAGTAACCAAGTTGTACTATAATTTTATGCATTTGGAATTCCGAAAATTTCAATACTCTTCTGATTTATGAAATCCACCTTTGCAGTTTATTTTGAAAGAAAAATAAAAAAGTGAAAAGATGAACTTGAAATAAAAAATACTTTAAACTTAATAGGGAATAAGAAAATCAAGTTTTCGCTATCAGAAACGAAAGGCCAGTTATGGCGGATTTTATTTTGTACAGAATATGGAACTTAAAACAGAATGCCAATAATTATTTTAGGAAGAGAATCCTTTTTGTATAGGTTTTAGGCCTTAGATTTTAAATACAATCTGTCATTCTAATTTAATGATTGGATTTTTCTAGAAAAACCAAACCAGTGCACTACATTAGTGAAGACAAAAACATTTGATAAGAGAATGTGATGCATAAAATTTTAGTGTAGTATTATGTCAGGTGCACCAAACATTCCATCACCTTCGATACCAGGCAGACCAGCAATTAATGTTCCAGGTGCTGCAGCAGGAGTAGGCGCTCCTCGTGTAGGCCCTGGAGCTGGCGTTCCTAATTTTGGACCACCAGGTGTTGGCGTTCCACGTATTGGAGCTGGCGCTCCAGGAGCTCCTCCAGTTGCTCCATTCACACCAGGTATGGCTCAGCCTTCAACTAACAGGCGTCGTGGTGCTCCAATGCTTTCATCAAGTACTAAAGTACTTAACTCACTTCAGAATGCAGAAGAACACGTACAGGCCGAAGATATTCCAGCTGATCAACAAACTGCCGTCAATACAGAAGATTCAGCAGAACTTGCTAATCTTGACGAGTCAATCTTCAACATCAATCGCATTCAAAAACCAACCTACGAACAAAACTCCGATTTTACAGGCAAAATTGCTGAGTCAATTGAACGCGCTCCAGAAGGATCTGTTCTTCACATTCCACCGGGCACATACCACGAGAGTTTGATCATTACCAAGAAGATCCACCTCGTCGCTCAAGGAGAATGCACAATTGTTTCCGATTGCAAGAGTGATACAATCGCAGTCCAAACAGACGGCGTCATCCTTACAGGCTTCACAATCCTCCAGGAAGAATCCCAAGCCGCCGGTGCTCTCCGTGTTGAGACAGGCTCTGCCATTTTCGAAGATTGCAATTTCGACTCCAGATACATGCCAACAATTGCCATTAGAAACAGTGCCATTGTTAACTTCACCAAGTGCATTATCGAGTGCCATGAGTCGAATATTATAATAATGACACAACAAGCCCAAGCCGTTTTCACTGAAACAACAGTCCAGAAGTCAGCCCAGAACGGTGTTGTCTTACGTAACCAGACAAAGGCCTTATTCGAGAAGTGCATTTTCAACGAAATTGGTCGTTGCGCCATCATTTCCGCAGATAAGACAGAGTTCTTCTGCGATGACAGCACAATCATGAAGATCGGTGGCGAAGGCATTTCAATTTCTTCATGCGGCCAAAACACAATTGTTGCCAAGACACAGATCTTAGAATGCGCTAACGTTGGTATCTTATCATACGTTGTTTCTACTCCTGTTGTCAGAGAGTGCACAATTAAAGATTGTGGTCGCTCCTTGATCGAAGTCACAGATGGCGCTGCTTTACGTTCCATCCAGAACAGATTCCAAGGCGGATGCAAGCAGGCTCTTTTCGCTACTCACCATACAACAATCGCATCTGAAGGTGATACTTTCCAGAACTTGAGCTTCGGTATCGTCGGTGTTGAACGCGCTATGGTTTACATCGTCGGCAGCAAGTTCATGGATCAGGTTTGCGGTGTCGTTCTTTCTGGACAGAATGTCAAATGCGAGGCAGATTCTCTTGTCTGCTCCGACTGCTCAGAGAACGGCATCTTCCTTGCAAACGAGTCATCCATCATGATCGCCAACGCCGAGATCAAGGGATGCCGCGGAACAGGCCTTCTTTCTGTCAAATCAAGAGATGTCTGGCTCAGAAACTGCACATTCGATGACAACAAAAACAATGCTATCGAATTCCAGAACTCTAACATGGTCAGAATCGACTATTGCAAGATTTACAGATCATTCGGCTGCGGTATCATCGCAACAGCTTCAAAGATCACTATGAAGTACTGCAGATTCGAAGACAACAACTTCTACTCCATCTACACATCATGCTCTACCTACTCAGCAACAGAATGCACAATCAGAGGTGCAAAGAGCGATGCTATCTACGTCGACGACGGCAAACTCGACATCTCTTGGGTCAGGATCTCAGATACAACAGATGTTGCCATCGTTTGCGACAAGTACGCCACAGCAAACATTGATAAGTGCATCATCGAACAGTCCAAGATCGGTATCTTCACATGTGAAGAGTCCAGAACAAACATTTCTCAGACAACAATCGACAATACCCAGAACGGTATCCAAATTTCCGCCAAATCTGATGTCAGAACAAGAAACTGCCTCTATACCAACAACAAGGTCGGCGTTGCTGCAACAGATAACGCTAAGATCCTTACATACAACGATAAGTACGAGGCAAACAATACAAATGTTTATCTCGAGAATGGCGGCGAAGTTACATGCGATGCAGACGTTATGCTTGCTACAGAGGGACCAGGCATCTACATCCAGAAGGGAACTGCAAACCTCAAGGGATCTCTTGTCAAGAATGCCAAGAACGTCGGTGTTTACTGCAAAGGAAAGGTTACAATCCAGGGCTGCAGAATCGAAGCTTGCGGCAGCTGCGGTGTTGTTCTTGAACAAGGATCTGAAGGTGTTGTCAAAGGAAGTACAATTAAAGAAAACGGAGATGTCGGTATCATGGTGTCAAGTGGTGCATCCGAAGTTAGCGAAAACAATATCTCTGGCCACAAGTGCTACGGCTTAAGAATCTGCAACGATGCAGAGATCGCAGTCATTGAAAACTCCATGTTCAACAACGGCATATGTGATATTAGTCGTGACTAAATCTAGTTTTATGTGGAATAAAGAGTTGGGTTTCTTCTTTATTAAAAATCTATTTTTTAATAATTTTCCCGTTTATTTTCAAAATTTTGATAAAATTCATAAGTTTACACGTCATAAAAAACAAATGATTTATAATTTTTAAACATTCATTGTTTGAAACATGACATGTACACATAAAATAACGAAGATTTTTAGACTTTTAATGGACATTCTAAATATATCTTTTAATTTGAATTTTAAAGTTCATGAAAAGTCCGAGAATTTATGTGTTTTTAGGATAAAATTTCCTAAAACTATTTGGTGTTATATGAGATTAGAAAAAAAAGAAGATATTTTATAATATTTTATATTTAGTCAATCAAAATAATGAAAATAGAAAAGGAGTACATAAAATAGTTTATAATGAAGTAATTTGATACACATGAAATCTTCTTATTGCAATCATTGTTTTTCCACAAATGGCATTGAGTATTCACTATGAAGGAGTAAGAACCAACATATCTAATAGAAGAAGGAGTCGAGCTAAACGAATTTTCGTAATATGAACAAGCAACCATAGATATTTGTAAGGCAAGAAAATTTTGGGCAGCATTGCGAACAAAAACACAGTGATAAACAAAAGACGAATCTTTGAATAGACTCAAAAAATAAAAAGTAGTACTAAGAACTTGATTATTATAAAAATTTGAATATTTCAATATACAATTAGTATCAGAACATACTATAGAACTTGCTGTAGCCGTTCCTGATAGTATATTTGTAAAGGATGCATTAGCCATTCCAACTGAATTTTCAAGATAAAATCCAGGTGTTTGCGATACAAAGTTATTCGTGGAATTATAATTTGAAAGAGAGATTATCCCACCACCAATCCAAAGAATATCAGAAACAGGATCAGGTGTACAATCAGTTATCGAAATCATAGAATGATAGTTTATGTTTTCTGAGTTACGTAAGATGTTAATATAGCCATATTTGCCTTTCATACTTGAAGAGACATTTCGAGCACAAATATCCTTTTGATAAATTGAGTGACCAGTGTTAAAGAGAACACAGCCACCGTTTTCGTTAGATGTGATAGAATTAAATGTAATATGTTCGAGGATTAATACTTTACTTGCGTCATTGATTCGAATAACACCATTGTTTGTGATGCTTTTGAAAAAAACACCTCTGATATAATATGCGAGGGGTAATGCCATATATGAATTTGCTGATGATGGAAAGAATCCCCAATATTGTCTGCCTTTAAGGAATTCATCTGTCGAAAAATCAGACAAATTATTGAATTATCATAGAAAAAATTGACAACGATCATTCAATTCAAATCCAAAATCTTAAATTGAATGAAATTGTCAATTTTTTAAATATCAAAGAGAAACATCATTTAGACGGATCTCGCGGCTCAACAAAAAATTGGTTTCGACTGCGAACTGATACTAGCATCATAATATTACTTCATATCATAATAGATAAAGGAAAAAGTTATTTTGTTGAAAAGATTAATGAAGCTTTTATGTGAATCCAAGATAAAGAGTAAAAATAGAAAATGATAACATATATGAACTCATTTCAAAATATCGATAGACACAAGAATATAGTTTGATGCATTCGCTATAATTCAACATATTACATTGAACACTCACATTAAAGCTATGCAATCCGAGATATTGAACAGATGGTGGTGCTGTATTAATCGAGTTAGAATAAAACGAACAATTAGTGAAAGAAATAGGAAATTTTAGAAATTTTCTGGCAATATTTTCTACAAAAACACAATTCTCAACAGAGGACGTTTGAAGCATAATATTCAAAAACCATTGCTCTGAGCTAATAAGTCTGTTTTTATAAAAATTCGAATATTTAATTATACTATCGGAATCAATATAAACAATAGAATTTGTCACTGCTGTTCCTGATAATATATTTATAAATGATGCAATAGCCTTTCCATATGAATAGCCAATATAAAATCCAGGTGTTCTAGCAATGTAGTTGTTTGTTGAATTGTAATTTGATATTGAAGCATTACCACCTCCAATCCAAAATATATCATCAATCGAAGCTAAAGCAGTGCAATCATTCAAAGAAATCATTGAAATATAATTAATATTTTCTGATGTTTGCGATATGTTAATGAAGCCATAATAGCCTTGCTTCTTTGAATAAACCCCTTTCCCACAGATATCTTTTTGATAAATAGAGTGGCCAGGAAGGAAAAATATACATCCGCCTTCAAGAGATGATGTGATGGATAAAAATGTATCATGCACAAGGATTAATTTTGAATTTTCATTTTTGATGCGAATAATTCCTTTACTCGTGATATTTGCGAAAAAATCTCCGTTGATACGATATATGAAGGGATCAACATCAATAAATATTTCAGATGGTTGCAATAAATCCCAATATTGTCTATTATTATGGGATTCATCTGCTGAAGAGGCCGACAAGCGATTAAATCGCTTTTTAAAAAATTGACAAAAATTATTCAATTGAAAATTCGAATCCCTTGAGATAAATAAATTACTCAAATTTCATTATACTTTTCAAAGGAATGAATGGGAATTGAAATTTATTCTTTCTGATGCTTATGAGATTCCAAGAGTCCCATAATTGGCTTTTTGATAAATATAGTGGTCTGGAAAATAATCCAAATTTTGAGTAGTTTACAACTCCATTTGGTAAGGAGTGTACTTAGCGATGAATAAAATTCATCAAAAATTCTAACTCATTATGGTGGTGCATATATAATGGTTGCTCAAGATTCTTCCTCTTATTGAAGATATAAAATTTGCAGATTGAGGTATTTTTTTTGATTCATATATAGAATAAATTAGAATATCCTTTCTATAACAATGGCATGCGTTATGGTCGATACTGAAATCCATGTAAGAATCATTTGTGAGAAAAGGTTCATGCTATTTATATTCAATATGGAATTTTTTAATAATCAAATGAAAAATATATGTAATTTTGTTTATTTGATTATACATATTATCCGAAAAAATAATATGGAATAATTTATTGAATTTGAAGGAATATATGCATGTTTTGTTCTTTTCTTGTTAAATTTACCAAAGTTTCACGATTTAAATAAGAAAAGAACTATCAGGTACTCAATAATCATAATAAAGTTTAAAATCAAATATATTGTTATTGTGAGTTTATCCATATATAGAGCCATTTGTGATGCCTTGTATTTTTTGTTTTGTTTTGCATACTGAAGGTAAGCTTTATCATTATAATTTGAATTAAAATCATAATGTCGCAAAAGATATAATAAAAAATCTTCGTTATCTGTTTGTAGTGTTTTGAGCAAGATTGTTGATCCATCTTCAAAAAGCTCTTTCAAATTTGCGCCATAAGATATAAGAAGTTTTGCCGCTTTTACATTGATGCTTGATAGAGCGTATTGCAATGGATTATTTCCCTCTTTATTTTTAGAATTAACGTTTGCCCCATGAGAAAGAAGGATTTCCATTACTTCAATACGATTCGATATTGAAGCAGCATGGAGAGCTGTATTTCCATTCTTATCAGTTGCATCAATATCAATACCATAAGAAATAAGTAATTTAACGATCTGAATGTTTTCTTTACTAACTGCAGTATGAAGAGCTGTATTTCCATTCTTATCAGTTGCATCAATATCAATACCATGAGAAATGAGAATTTCCGCAAATCTGAATCTGTTATTTTCTACAGCAATATGAAGTGCTGTTTTTCCATCATTATCTCGACTATTAATATCGACTCCTGTTGAAGCATGATTATTTACATCATCTTTGAATTCCTTTTCAAGAGAATTATTTTTGAAGCATGGTGCCAGAGTTACCAAATATTCCAAGATTTTTTCACGTTTGTGAGTTACAGCAAGATGAAGAACTGTATAACCAAAAAATCTATTATGCTCATTAAGATCGGCACCATGCTCAATAAGTAGTTTTAACATTGGAAAATTTTTGTTTATTACTGATTGATGTGCTGCAGTATTTGTATCTCCATTTTTCATATTGATAATAGAACTATCAGAAAGAATAACCTTTGCCATTTCAAATAAATTCTTCTTAACAGATAAATGAAGAGCTGTATTCCCATAAATATCTATTGATTTTGTATTAATCCCTTTTGCAATTAGGAATTTAGCAAATCTTAAAAGATTTTCTTTTGCAGCAATATGAAGAGCATTTTCATTGTTTTCATAAGTTTTATTGATATCAACACCATTTGCCAATAAATACTCCCAAATTAAAGAAAGATTAAAATGTTGTGATGATAGGAACATTTGATTGTAATCTTTTGATAAATCAAAATAAACAAAGAATGCAGGTAGATTGTAGTATTTATAACAAAAATCTAAATTGATTTTAATATCGTATTCATTATGAAGAAAACATACAAAATCAATGTTATGTGACGCAATTGCGAATTCCATACATTCATCATCTGGTTTTTGATATTTCAAGCATTCATTCATTATATATGGAACTCCACTTAAAAATGAATACTTGAGGCATTTATTTGTGATATTTAATTTGAATTTTGTTCTCAAAAAATTAAAACAATCAATCGCACCATAATAGCAGCATAATTCAAGCAATGTATCATCTTCATCATCAAAACCAAAATTGTTTTCAATTGTTTGAAATGGATCAAAAGTTTCATTTAGAGAATGTGAAATGAATGATTGTATGTCATTTTCAGCAATAGAATTATAGATTTCATATTTTATCTCATATAATTCATTATATTGTTCATATGCTGCACGAAAATTACCAGATGATGATTTTGCTTTGTGTGACATCAGTGTAATTGCAGTAGGATATTTATTCGAAACCATATCAAAGATGGACCGATATGATTTAATATACTTATTATTGGACTTTGCAGCATTAAATATCATCTCAAAGTTAATTTGAATTTTTCAGTTCGAAATTTTATTGAATTTTCTGTTGAATCTTCGGCTATGGCGATACACCCTGGATAACCACTGATGAAACTACTACCTCCACCACCGCCATAATCATTAGCAATAGTAGATGTGCCTCCTCCAAAATATCCTGAGCCTCCTCCAGCATTTCCTGAAGCATCAATCCGATTCGGATTTCCACCTCCTTTTCCAAATTTGCCGCTACTATCACCTTGTCCTCCAGATATTTGGGTTCCACCTTTTCCGTAATTCCCATGGCTATTAAATCCTTCAATAGTTCCTCCGGGACCTCCTAGATCGTTTGAATCAGTAGCCCCAGCACCAGCTGCAACGATAATTCGACTTTTCAATGATGTAAAGTTATCGTATTCTCCTGGAAGAAGTCTGATATCAGTAGCTCCACCACCACCAAATTGGCCAGGTCCTCCACCACCATATGAATAATTTAACATTCCATGTTCTCCTTTATGACAAACATGGAGATAAAATTATTTGGTCGAAGTTAGAAATATATATCCTTTAACATAGGCACCATTTGATGGAGGATTGTTCACTGTAGATGAACATCCCCATAATTCGAACGAATAGTATCCTCAAGTTAATTCAATGTGATATGCATTAGATTCGTGATAACTATTACCTTTGTATTTATACTGAAATGTTTTTGTTTGGAGAATATTTAATTTTTCAGATCGTATAAACACATTCAACCAAATTTAATATGCCCTCAATTTCAAATTAGAATAAATATTTTTTTGTTACAGAATCATAAAATATTTTGTCACTTTTTTATTCCAAAATAGGAAAAGATTTAATTTTTCTGAAAAATTTCTAATCCGAGATTTGAAAATTGTGGCGAGGAAGATTGTTATACAGTAATAGGTTCGGGCGAACTTCCTGTTCTAACCCAGAACCAAAATGCAAAAAAATTATATCTAAAGGGTTTTACATCAACAACAATTAGTCCTTTCCAATCATATTCGCAGTTAATAAATGTTACTTTTGATGATAAAGTCCAAATATTTGATGATGGGTTACTTACGGGGACTCAAGTTGAGTATTTTACAATTCCAAAAAGTGTAACAAAATTAATAGATAATCCTTTTGACAATGGTAAATATATGAAAGCTATTTATGTTGATAAAGAAAATCCATATTTTACTGATGTTGATGGTATTGTCTATTCATCAAATTTGAAAACTTTGATTGTTTATCCAGGTAATCATGGAGAAACATATTTAATCATTCCAAATTTTGTTGAATTCATTGCAGATAGTGCATTATGTGGTAGTTCTATGGTAAAATTTATTTTAATTCATCCGAATGTTAAAAGAATTGGTTTTCAATTTTATAGAATGGAAGTATTAGAATATGTTAATATTCAAAATAAAAATTTGCCGTCTTTAGAATTAAGTCTTTCATCACATGATTCTGATCCTTCCATTATTCATTTCAATCCGCTTCCAAAAGTAAGTATCAACTATTGTTATTTTATGAATTTTTCAATTAACTTTTTGTTTATTATATTTGAAATAGTATAATAGTTTATTAAAATATACTTATGTTTTTTTAAAATTTTACAAAATGTAAATGGCTGATGGTAGTAATAATACGTTTACTATAGCGTTACTACCGTTTGAATGTATGATAAAATATGTTTAAAAAAGTGCAAATCTTCATTACTAATTTGTTCGCCGAAAACTCGCCATCTCACCAAATTCCTAGTTAACTTTGTTCAAAGCAATTTCTAACTGTTGGGATTACCTGCAGATTCAAAAGTTGGGAAAAAATAGAATTTTAAAATTTAATATTTTTAACTATCGTTAACTAAAAGAAATATTAGGAAATAATCAATAACATGAAGTCGATAACAAAGGAATTTTGTATTAAAAATACAGTGGTTGAGGATAGTGATAATAAGTTTACCATTGCCTTCCCAAACACCGGAGGTATGGAAAATATGTTCAAAAAGATAATCTGATTTTGTAAATGCATACTCATATTTTCCAATGCTTTGGTAGAATGAATCAAATGCTTCAATCTTTCCTTGAGGAATAATAGCATCTTTAGATAAAACCCATGAACTTCCTCCTCCTGAACCTGCATTACTATCATGACTTGCAAAGCCACCAAACCATCCAGAGCCGGCACCGGCACGATCTGAACCACCATAATATGATTGAACTCCTTTTGGATTCAAAGATTTATATTTTTGGACTGATTCGCCATAACCAAAACTGAATCCTGATGTAGAATTTGCCGTATAATTAAAATTATATATACCACTTGAAAACCATCCTTGACCAATAATACCTCCTGCACCGCCTGATCCATCATTAAAATCGCCATATGTTCCATCTTTATCATCACTGCCACCTCCAGCACCGCTCACAATAACTCGGTGCCAAAGATCATTCACTTCAAATTTGACAGCGGTTTGACCGCCTCCGGAACCAGATCCAAAATCAGAATCGGAATAAAAAAAATTAGAGGAATAACCTCCACCACCATATCCACCTTCAATCATATTATTTTTTAAATAGCAATCATCATTATTACTTTGTTGGATTTTATATTTAAATTGACCTTTGCCACCAATAGTGGCATATGAAATGATATCTTTGTTTAAGGTGATGATGCCACTAATATATGCACCAGCACCACCAATATTCGGCTTTCGAAGACAGATTGTGTTGCCACCAACGTTTTTAACAGTTTCATCTAAGATGCATTGATCAGTTGGAAATCGATATGAAGAAACATTACCTTGAGAACTTCCTCCCGAGGCACCATACAACTCAAATTTGTATGTGCCACGAGGAAGATGGATGATATAATCTGTACAATCAAATGTACTTTCACATGGATACTCAAAAGTGTACTTATTCTCAGAGACTTTAACTGTATTTGATTTTACAGGTTTGCTAATATTAGCATATGAATATCGGATCATTGAAACTTAATCATGGTTTCATTTTATTTCAAAAAATAATTTCGAAAAATTTGGCATATTAGAAAAATATGGTAATGGGTCAAATGCATTATTAAAATAATTTGATTTTTTAAATTGGTAATGGGTGAAAAGCAAAAGAAATTATAATAAATAATAAGAAGTAAAGGATTTTAACAATGCAGGAAAAAATGAATACTACCATTATGTTATCTTGCATGAGGACATTATTCAGGGCATTAAAATGAAGAGTTGTATATTTTATGAGTTCTTTTTGAACGAGATCGGTTGACAAAATATTTTTTATACCAATTTCTTAATTTAAAATGATTATAATAGAACACATGTATCATAAAGATAATGCTGCTGATACAGTTTGGAGCTTGTTTTATGAATCATCTGATAAAAACAATATTGTTAAACAAACCAACCCAAACATTGATTTATATAGTAATAAGCATTTCGTATTTAAGTGTGTTTTTTATAATCAATGGTCTTCTATCTTTATAATTGCAAAAAATCTGAAAATCCTGCATTCTGAATGTACATTCACCAGATGTAAAGGCACAATTGGAGGTACTATTTATATGAAAGGAGATTCTTCTTTTGTTCAGCATCGATACTGTGCATCATCTTGTATTTCAACAGGAGAAGGTATTTTTTCATATGTAAATTTGAACAATTATTCATCAATAAATTTTAATTATAACATAGAAGGATCACTCTCCCAAAATAATGGATATCAGAGTATAAATTATATTGATGATGGGCAAGGAACAATATCATCTATGAATTATAGTAAAAATTTTGCTGAGTCGTATTATTCCTTTAGCTCAAATGATGTTAACGATGGATTAGTCAACTATTCAAATATCGAAGGTAATAATATCATTCAAGTTTATGTGACAAGAGTCTTTCTTTTTAATTACGCAGATCCAGAAGTAACAATTACGAACTCTAATTATGACAGATTAACTACCAACAAAGCAATAACTCAAAGTGATAACTTTGAAACAAGCGAATCAAATACATTGACATTTTTTGTCAATTTTGATTGTCATACTCAAACGACAATCAATCAAAATCAAATTAAATGTTACTGTTCATCAGGAGAATCAATTTCTTATGTCACTTTTATAAATTTCAATTGAAATTTAGATAAGCATTGTGAGTATTGTTGCTTTGCATTTAAAATTGCATAGAAAGCTAGTATCCTCAATTATTAATTATCATTTTATATGAAAAACAACCGTGGAATGTTTTATTAAAAAGATCTTTAAGAAAGACTACAAGCATACATAATAGCATTACAATTAAAATGAATATAATGTAAACAATGACTAGTTAGAAGATAGTATGTTATAATTAGTTTTCTGTGTCCTTCCCATACACCTGACTCATGCTGAACATCGAAAAACTTGAATGATGCTGAAGTATCATATGCATAACGATCTTTACCAATTTCTTCATAGTTTTCGTCATAAAAAGTCAATTCTCCTTTCGGAAGAATTGCATTGTCTGACAGAACCCAAGAAGAACCTCCACCAGCGCCGCCATTATTGTGATGACTGCAAAAACCACCATACCACCCACCACCTGCACTTCCTCTGTCTGTGAATCCGTGTGGTGTTTTGATTCCATATGGATTCTTCGAACCATCTGTGCGAGCTGATTCTCCTTGGCCAAAACCGAATCCAAAAGTAGAATTTGCTGATGAATTTTCAATATACATACCGTATATATAAAAACCTTGTGCTTCGAGACCTCCTGCGCCTCCAGAGCCATCATCTGACTGTTGAAATGTGCCATCACCGTTGTCAAAACCACCTCCACCACCGCTAACAATTACACGATGAAAAAGGTCGTTCTTCTCAAATTTGACAGCAGTTTGGCCACCTCCTGATCCTGATCCATAACCAGGAGAACTTCCACCACCACCATAACCACCTCGATTCATGCAAGATAAACTAAAAGATTTATAATAATTAGCATTTCTTTGATCAAAATATCCCATTCCTCCAATTGTAGCAAAAGCTTTCATTGGATGAAAAAGTACTGAGTAGCCAGAAATATATGCGCCTGCACCTCCAGCACTGGGTAATTGTTTGCAGACAGTATTTCCATTCACACGCTTAACTCTGTCTTGTGAAATACAGCTTCCATTGGGAAATCGATATGATGGAACATGCCCACTGCCGCTGCCACCTGATGCACCATAAAGTTCAAACTTATAGATTCCAGGCTGTATTTCAAGAACGTAATCTGTGCATTCATAATACTTAACACATGGATATTCAAAAATGAAACTATTCTTTTCATGTTTAACGTTAAGTTTTGCATCTTTTACACTTGAATTAAGAAGATATGACTTTATCATATATTAAAGTTGTCATATTCGTTCATGACAAATTAAAAAATGATTTACCATTCAATATGCATCTTTTTCTAGTTAATATCCCTTTGTAAATACATTTGTTTTATCAAAATTTACTATTGTCATTCTAATAAATCCTAATTGAAAATATTAATCTTAAATCACGCCATTATGAAATTGTTTTAGATCTTATTAATACATTATAAAACTTTTCAAATTGTACTGAGTAATTCATGACTGGAGCAAATAATTTTCGATATGGTAAATGTTCCATTCAAGATTCAAACAAAGTTTATCAAAATTATTCTCCTATATACCCACAATATCATGCAAATTCTTTTTATCCACGTAATAGCACTTATTATCCACATATATCAAAATAAATTTAGATCTGGAAAATATATATTTGAAGCATATGGTTCTCAATGACAAGTCTATTAGTACTCTGATGGATATAGTGTATATGCAGTAACAACTATTACAATTTCAAGAAATGTTGATATCTTTCTATTTATCGGATCTACAGGCAAAAATAATCTTTGCGGTTATAAACTGAGACTGATCCAAAAAAACTTTGATAAAGGAATATTATAGTCAAGTTTTCCTTCTAAAAGTGGTGGATGATGTTTATATGGTGGTGAAACTAATCAACCAAGTGGAGATCTGGATTTGTATATCCAACTGATCGATTGAAAACAGAAATTGGAAATATTAATTTATTATTAAAAATTTGTAAAATAGTTTATTTAGTTAATCAGTGATAAAATTGAATATGATGAAATTTGTGAAATGCTAAAAAGATGTTGACACTGGTAGCCGATTAAATATTGGGAGATGCAAAAATTTTTCATTTGGTTGAATTTTTTTATCTCATTTTCTTCTTCAAAATTATTTTCAATTTTATATTTTGCTTCACAAAGTCCTGTAGAAAGATGTGATAATTCGTTGTATAAATTGTTTAATGTATTTATTATTGTTGCACTTGATGTTTGTCCATCATAATCACTATTAATGATTGTAGCTGAACTTGATGAAGAATATAAATAAAATGTTTGTGTACAATTATTATTTTTGATTGAACAAGATTCAAATGTAACTTTTGATATAAAAAACAATATTGACTAGCATTGTTTCTAATGATATTACATAAATAAAATTGATGTGGACCATTAAAAATAAAAAAGCATCTAGAGTTTGCTTTGTTATCAATGAAAGATGATTGACTGATGTTGTATTTCTGGTTTGAAAAAATTTGAAGTGAAACATCATAAAAACATTTGTTATTTGTTATGTTATTTCGTGAATAACTAAGATTTCCGTATTTTAAACTATTAATTGACCATCCTTTATCTATTTCTCCACAATCAAAGACTGTTGAATCTTCAAAAATGTTTTTGTTGTTTGGATTTGATGGTAATATTTGTGAACATAAAAATACTCCTCCATCCAATCCATATTGTGTTTGTATAGATTTTGTGGCACATGTTCGATAGATAACACAACTTCCTTTATAAGAATAAACTGTTCGAGATGGAGTTTTTGTGCCATAGAATCCAGAAATAGAAATAAGAAGTTTTGTTTGATCATTGATGTTTATATTGACAACAACATCTTTAAATTCATTGAATAAACATGTTGTAACATAATAATTTCCTTGTTTTGATCGTCTAAATTTTTTATTTTCGGTGTTACTTTCAGTGATAACTGAATTCTCATAAAAAAGTATCCAAGTGTCAAGATTTGGACCCGAATCGAAGAACTGTCTTAATAAATACTTCATTTTCATACATTCCATAAAAATATTTGAATGAATTACTTCTAAAATTTCGTTTAGCGCACAAAGGATTGTTTTTATTTAATATGGACATAATATTATTTAAGTGTAAAGATTGTATAATTAAAATTACGAAGACATTATCTTTATCAAGGGATATAATCCCTTGAAGTTGACAATCAAAACATTTTATGTCACTTTTTTGGTATTTTTTTGGAAAATTTTATGTTGGCATTTTTTTTATTTTCAAGATTTACAAGAATCTAAGAATTCAAAAAAAAGGTAGTGGGGCTTCCAGGCACTTCGTGCCCTCTAGCCCCGAAGATGTTTAGTATAAATGAAGTTTTTATTCGGAAAATTGTTAGTCTTCTGGTGTGAATTCGGAGGACTCTTCTTCTTCCTCCATTGCTTCTGGGAAGAAGCCTTCTTCTGGGTCGAAAACATTATATAATGTTTCACTTTTCACAAATTATATATGTTTTCATGTTTTGTCACTTTTCTGTCACTTTTCAGGAAAAAACATTTTTATTATTATATATAAATGAATTTTACAAAACCACCGTTACCGTTCTTTGGAAATAAGAGTAAATGTAAAGATATTATATTGAGAGAACTTAAGAAACTACCGAATGGTCTAACATTTGTAGATTTGTTCGGTGGAAGTTTCTATATATCCCATTTGTGCCATACAATATTCCCAGACTCAAAGATTATATGCAATGACTTCGACAACTATATGGACCGTCTCAAACATATTCCAGACACAAACAATATATTGAAAGAGTTAAAAGAAAAGATACCTATAGGTAAGATGGAACGTATACCATTAGATAAGAAAAATATTGTGAGAGAGGT